GTTATGCCAATCTATTGTAAGATTTAAGCTCTATAACGCCTTATCATAAACTGCGAACACAAGTTTGCTCAGGCTTCGAGTTTGCCTACTGTTGAAGCAGGAAAGAACGATTACGCTTTTACGTTCCGCATATATCTAAAATTGTGTTCTGCGTCTTGAGCGGAATTGCGAGCCGCCATAAAGTGTGGATGTTAGTATACCTTATTATTTTAATTTTTTTTTCAGATTATTAAATATTTATGAAAAAGTAAATAAATTGACATCGGCATTGGATTTCTTTACTAACAATGATTGGAAGTTTCAAGACGATAACACTCTCAGTTTACACAAAAATATGTCGATTATTGATAGAGATATTTTCAACTGTGACATAGCAACATTGGACCGTAGAGAATGTATAAAAGTATGGACGTATGGTATTCGAAAGTACATTATCAAAGAAGTAGATTTTCAACGTCAAGGGGAAATCGATAGAAAACAATTTTTATTAAAAATAGCAACATACTTTATTTTCGGTATTTATATTTATTTGTTTTATATAATGCTGCGTTTTATTTATTCAACTGTTATTCAATTTGTTTAATTTAATTCATTTAATGTTTGTTAATTAAGATAAAATTTTCGTTGTTTATGGTTTTTTAATTATACAAATCTGTTGATATTACATTAAGGTTAAAAAAAGGATTAATAATAAATAATTTATAACATCCTCTATTTTACCGACCCCCTTCTAACTTTACTAACTTTCTAGAGATAACGCATCTGTAAAGCAGATGTTTAAGGTACTCGTCCATTGTCCCGCGGCGGACGCACCGCACGCATGGCCCGTAACGAACTTTAGTTGCTTTTTATGATTCTACGCATCAAGACAAACCAAAACCGTTTAATCCGTGCGTGCGGTGGTTGTTGGTGTAGGCGTACCTTTATAGGCAGCTATCAATTTTGTTTTATATCAAAAGGTGGCAAATGAGCTAGCGGCCTCCTGAAATCACAACAATAGCGAAGCGACCGTTGCAAAATCACAAATTCTACAGATTTAGCTAACAATTGAATTTATTTATCTGTATATGTATATCTAAACCGTTAATAAAATGAGAAGTGTATGTTGTATATGATAAAAAAGAAACAATTTTTATTATTTTTTAATTCCACGCTAACAAAGTAGAGGGGAACTGCTAACTCCGAAACGACGGTCGATTTCGACGGAACTTTCACTGGAAATTAGGTGATATATGTGGGAATATTAAAGACTAAATATGATTAAAAACTTACCAGAAATATAAAACTCTTTAACTAAAACTCTTGGGTAGAAATTAGTAATAGACTACACAATTTAATGCTATTAATTTATGTAACATTCATACTTGCGTTTTTCAAAACTTTTGGCGAATTAATTAAAATAAATAAACTAAATAAAATGAACATAATTTAGCTTTCATTTGCGACAACGCGTATTCGATAGCTATCGAATGTGACCCGACCGCAGAATTACACAAAAAAAATAACATGTCGTTAGTTTCCGAGGCCACAAACAAAGATAAAAATTTGTTTTAAACGGAGATTTAGTTCTCAGAAACCCACTATTACAAATTGGGGCAATAATAAGGGCATCCTCCTCCTGCATCTACCCTCATATTAACTCAATGACATAAAACAAAGTTGTGATACATATTGCGAAATAATACGATTAGTTTCAATACTGCGCTGGTAGAGTCGCGGGTAAATGCTAGTATATAATAAAATACAAAAGCATAATCGAGTTCATTTTGTTACAATGCAAATACAACATTTCGGCTATTTAAATATATTACAATTTACGTAAATTTCAAATATTATATCGTAGCACAATTGTGTGGGTATATACGGAGTGTTCCTTATTGTATGAGGCGGCAAACTTATTTCTATAAAATAGCGTAACCCAGAAACATCTTTAAGGTGAAAGATTGCTGAACCGTTCCCTATCTTATATTGACTGAGGGTGATGTACGGATAGAGGAAACTACGTCCTTTCTTGATAATGGAGGGGTGGGAAAAGTACTGGCGATTTGCCTTCAGGGTACAGACTCATCAGATGAAACTGATGGCAGCAGCAAGGCATGTGAGCAGCCACTAACGCACAACAGAGTGTACCCCTGTTAGAGTGTATGTACAAAAATCCCTTGACGGAAAATATGACCAATACAATGTTATGCAACGTTGCTCAGTTTAGTTGCCAGGGGGCATCCAATGTTAATATTTTTTTAGTAATAAGCACCATTTTTTGGGTCTCGATTTCTACAACGTTGCTGCGTGGCATTGAAAAATAAGTTTATGACCTTCCACTGTCCTCAAAATTTGTAAACATTCTGTATAAAGATAATTATTTTAGCTTTAAATAGAAATTATTTTGTGCATTCTTATCAGTCTGTGTCCAGAAAGTTATTCAGTAAGTTTATAATTATTATCATTAGCAATAAATATCAGTGAAATCGCTTTATTTTACTATTTTTAAATAATTCAAGCTATTTAAAGGTTTGCTTTTAAAATGTAGATATGGAATCCTTGATAGCTTTGGAAAGAGAGGCACAGAAACATCAGCATGATGTAGAAAAAGTCATCGCCAGTGGAGCGTCAATCGTGGAAAGGTTCTATGCTGGTTCCAACATATTTCTCACTGGAGGCTCGGGTTTTATCGGAAAACACTTAATTGAGAAGCTTTTTAGGTAACAGAAATCTTACGTATGTTAAAAGGCTAAAAATTAACAAGGGACCTTTTTCACTAAAGTTGTGAAGTGGTCTCTGTAAAAAGACATCTGCGAAGTCAAAAGGCAGATGGGTGTCTTATTCTTAATGGACGGAGTAGAAGACCTAGAGAAAGAGGACACCTTCCTCCACGATTCCTCCCATGTCGCGCCAAATTCATTTCATATTTTCCCATCTTTCGATATTAAAATAGTCTTAAGGGGGAAGATAACTGGAACTTGGAGTTCGGTACACGCATTACTAGAAGTAAAAAATTGTTTAACTTGACGCCTTTCTTCTATTTAATCTATGTGGCCATGCAACTTAACTTCTGCGTTTGGTATGAGAAGCTGCACGCCTTTTTTTTATTTTGCCTTTCATTTATTCTTCCTTTTCTTATTTTGGCAGCTCCCTGTTTTAAATTAAAAGGTCGTTGCATCCCAATTTTTATAACAGTTACGGATGTTGCAGAGTTAAAATGGTGCCTTAATTTGCCGATTTTCCTTTAAAAATAAGAAAAGATCAGGAATAAATTTAGTATTAATGCTCGCGTTGGTAGCACATAATTGAGATACTACTTTTTAGTTGTAGTTGTAAAAAATATTTTATTTTATAATGTAATTTTTTTCAGGTGTTGTAATGTAAATAAAATTTATTTATTATTACGATCAAAAAAAGGAAAAAATGTACAGCAACGAATTGATCAAATTCTTAAAGACCCTGTAAGTATAGCAGTATTTTGTACCTTAGGTTCTTTTTGACCTTCGAAATGGTTTAGAAGGACATTTGAATTTTACTGAAGCTGACGTTATAATGATTATTACAGGTTTTTGATAGTTTACACAAACATAAACCAGATTTTGTGTTGAACATAATACCAATTGAGGGAGACATGAATAATGCGGAGCTCGGCATTAGAGACCTCGATCGGAATATAATTACCGAGCAGGTAAATATTTAGTTAAAATATTAGGAAGTCACATGAATAATTGAAGGAATGTTAGTCAAGAAGTTATCGTTTGAAAATAATTTCAGGTTAATATTATATTCCATGCAGCTGCAAACGTAAATTTTAACGAGAATGTAAAGAGCGCAACGCTGATCAACGTTCGAGGAATCAGGGAGATAGTTCGCCTAGCTAAATGTTGCAAACAACTAAGGTATTATTCGCAGATGTCTTTTCGAGAATCTTCCTAAAATTATAAATGCGAATGTTTAGATGGATGGATGGATGTTTGTTAGAAGGTATCCCCAGAACGAGTCAACGGATCCCGCTGAATTTTGGCATGGATGTAGAAATAGTCTGAAAGAACACATAGGCAAAAAATTAGTTATTTTTTAAATTTCTCGCGGTGGGAGGCACGGGCAACAGTTAGCGTCGCATGGTTGTATATTTAATGGAAACACAAGCGGCAAAATTTCTTTAAAAGTCGCCAAGATATCTGAAAATCTCCTTGAGTTCTAATTAGAATTTTAAGATTGTTGCAGTTTGTCGCATTCTGATGCCTACTAGTGTCACTACTCAATTCGATACAATTACGACACGCCCCTTGCATGTATTTATAAGCTAGAGAGGTGCTACAAAAGTGGCCAAATAGATATCTTTAATGGTTGCCTAACCCACTGGGTTACAGGCCTCAGAAGATGTTTGGTTTTATAAAAAGATACATATATTTCAGATCTATAGTTCACGTATCGACGGCGTACACTCACGCCACCAAAAGTCGAGTGAGACAGGCTATTAAGGAACAGTTTTACGAATGCCCTGTACCACCAAAAGCTATTATAGAGATGGCTGAAACTATTGAACAAAATAAATTGGAAATTATGATGCAACCGTAAGTACCGGTGGCACAAGCCCCACAACTAGAGTTGGACGCGACTGATAATTGATACTGACAAACGCGTGTGGCCAATGTAGTGTTTGTCGTTATTTGACATACTCTATCTCTATCGATGAAAATGTTCTTAATAATATTAGCAAAACAGAATATACGATTATTAGAAAAGGCGATGTAGATGTCTCAACTAAATAATTGAGTCACATTTTGTTATAATACATAAAATAATATCGGTAAAATCTTGCATTTAATTTTGAATAACTAGAATTAAGTTTGTTCAAACATAGATTCATTGTAGATTAAAGGAAGACTATGCGAATACATATACATTCACTAAAGCAGTGGCAGAAGAAGTCGTAAGGACTGAAGCACAAGGCTTGCCTATTTGTATTGTTCGACCATCTGTTGGTAAGCTACATAATAAAAAATATCCAATGCATACATATAGCATAAAACTTAGTTTTCCAATGTCAAAAGTTTCGATATTTAATGTTTTATATAATATCATTTTTTATTTCAGTGATAAGTTCATATCGTGAACCATTGCCAGGCTGCGTTGATGCGTGGAATTTAAACAGCCCCAGTGGCGTAAGTTCTGTTTGTGAAGTTATAATTTTTCCACCAGTTTTATCGTCAATCATGACCTCCAAAGCTCTCGACCTTCAGGAGTAATTTATAATAAACAATATAGCAATAAACGTAAACACTTATAGCATTCGTTGCGTTATATTTGGCTAGTTCACTTCCCACACGTGCTACCGGTCCAAAGGTCTGACATCGACTGACGCCCCCTCTCTCCGAAGACGTGACTTATAACGTGTAAGCTTGGGACAAACAACAATACATTTATGCATACACTACACCACTTTTTGTCATTTAAAATTTACATCCTCGACTACAAATTAATATTAAGAATTACGCCACAACTACAAAATCTTGCAACTTTTACTAAAATTTACAATAAATAGATAAAATTGTGTATTATGTTTCAGATTCTGTTAGGAATTTCTGTAGGAGTAATTCATACTCTGAGATCCATTAGTGATATAGTCTTGAGTATCGTTCCCGTTGATATAGTGATAAATGCAATATTAGCGGCTGCTTGGGATAACACAAAACGACCAAATAATGAAAATATTAAAATTTTTAATGTAACTGGCAATAGAAATCCGTTACAATGGGGTAAGAAAATACATATATGTTTTTATTGAATATGGATAAAGCATTAATATTTAATTTTATTGTCCTTTTCAGGATACGCTTCTAACGTCGTTGAACGTTCAAGAGATCTGGTTTCGTCGCGGGCAATATGGTACTGTTTTATGGTACAAACGCCTTACAAAATCCTAAACGTATTACTTTTTTGGCTTTTACATTTCATTCCTGCATTCTTTGTGGATATAGCGCTCACATTAATAGGAAAACGTCCACTGTAAGTTTTATGAAAATAAAAAAAATATGTTACGATAATTATCGTGAACACTGTTTGGCCGTTAATTTGCTATTAAACGGTTTTCAGCATCATGCAGAAAATTATATTTAATTAAAAAATGGCTATCAGAATAAAGATTATATTTCTGATAGCCATTTTTTAAATAATATTATAGGGTGACAAACGAGCACTCGGTCGCCAGAATTTGCCGAAATAGCGAAAAGACCACTACATAGACATTTGCAATTACAGATGTGTTCCTTACTTATGATCGACGGAGAAGAGGACGCATGTAAAGAGAATATTCCCTTCCTATGCGTCCTTTCCTCCGTTAAATCCACCTCCTCTTCTTATCCTTTCATTGTAAGAAAGGGTTGGGAAGGAAAAGAGGACTAAAATTAGGCCTCCGACACCACATTCATCAGACGAAACGCGGGATGAATTCTTCTTCGCTTCTGTGTGGTCGTGGCACTGGGTGAGCCTAATTCGTCCAACAGTCATCTAAGACTTGGGCCTAGCACTGTAATATAAATTAAAATTTTATTAGCTTAGTTAGGTAAAACCATACAAATGATGTATGAGATGATGCATGTTTTTGCTCTTGTTTCAGACTGATAAAAGTATATAAAAAGATATACAAGTTAGCATCGGTGTTCGAATATTTCCTGAGAAATGAATGGAAATTTCATGACGATAACACTCTCAATCTTTATTTAAACCTGTCGAATATTGATAGAGATATTTTCAACTGTGATATGGCAACGATTGATAACACAGAAATGACACGTATTTGGGCATACGGCGTTCGGAAATACATCATAAAGGATTGTAATGTCAATAATGCTGATCAAGTTGCAAGAAAGCAATTTTGGTTGAAAATATTGACTTATTTCATATTCTTTTTGTATGTTTATGCGTTCCATAAAATTATAATGACTAGCTATTCGATAATAACTAAATTTGTATAAATTCTTTCTGTTTATAAATTGATACTTTTTGAACGTATATCGTCGAAAATATATAAATGTAAGTCTTAAAAATGTTGCAAGAATAAAAGGTTTAAAAGATTTTTTTTAAATGTTGTTTTATTTAATATCGTTTTTAATGTGTTGTGTACGTATGCAAAATATTATAATAATAACATTGCAGAGTTCCGCATGTAATATCAAGAAAAAGTGAGCGTTGCTGATAATAAAATCAATTTATAAAATTTTTGTCTGAATGTCTGTCGCAGGGCCGCGTTTGTCTGGGGTAATAGTTTACGTATCATCAGCGTATAGTCACGGTACCCAGAGACGAGAGGGACAAGCAGTAAAGGACCAGTTTTACGACAGTCCTGTACCAAATGGTGCAGGATTGTATCAAGATTTAGCTATTAATGCATTATGCGTAGGCTTTGGGAAATGCGATCTTGACGAATAACGGTGTGTTTTCTGAGCGCGTACAACGCTATAGTCACGACGCAAGGATTGTTTCTTTTTTATATAATAAATGCAAATGTTTAAAAGTACGGATGGATGGATGTTTGTTTGAAGGTATATCCAGAACGGCTTAACTGATTTTGATTAAATTTGACACACATGTAGAACACAGTGTGAAAGAACATAGAGGCTACTTATTAATTTGCTTTAATTCCGCGCGGACGGGTTCGCGTGCGCCAGTTCCGTAGTTTTGTTTGTTGTCCTTGTTTTGTGTACGAAGTGGCAACGAGCGTCCTTCTCAGTTATGGCTACTTAATATAATACTCCCGACTTGCGTAGTCCACCATTTTTGATGAATTAATTAGAATAAATAAATTGAATAAATTTAGTTAAAATTAAAATAATTTACCTTCTATTGGTATAAACGTGTTTTCGGGTCCAAAATGTCCAAGTTTTCCTTTTTATTGATGATTGTAATTGTTCTACTAGCTTCACTAGCTGTGCCTAGCGACACCGATCACGACGAATGAAAATAACTTAATAAATAGCCTATATGCATGGAATTCATGCGACTCACACAGCAACGCCAAAATTAAAATAAAACAAAGGTCCAAAATAGCGAGTATACGCGAAGAAAGGAACAGTACAAACATACAAAAATGCTTTTAATATAGTATAATATCGTAAAGTATGGATGGATTGTGTGAAAGAGGATATGAGTAAGAATGTGTTGATAGAGATATGGACGAGTTGCGGACCATACTGTGCCGACCATCCGTAAGGACTAGGGCAGGTTGATAAAGACGATGTCTTTACGTTATTGTAAAGTTCTGAACTACGATGAATCTTATGATTTATCAGTAAAACTTATTATTAATCAAGTTGTTATGGTAAAAGGATATGTGATATTTGTTTACAACCATTTATTTACTTGGTAAATCATATTAACTACAAATACACGGTATTTGATTATAATAAAAATTAACTAAGATTATAGAACAGTTCGGGCTAAAACTAGTTGGTAAATCTTAAGTTTAACGGCAAATCTTACAATTGACCGGAGTTCGTGCTTCTACGGTAACATATAAAATAAAATAGAAGTATATAATCGTATTCTTTTTTTGTACATTAGGTATTGAATGAAATTTTGTTCGCGAATTTACATTGTATATTTTTACACAATTAAACATTAAAAAAATCCATATATACGGCGTGTTTCTTATAGCTTAAGGTGGCGCAGAATAACAACGACGCTCATAAACATCTCTAATGAAATGTTTTTAATACTATATAAGGACAGAGGAGGCCTACAGAGAGAGCCAACACCACTTGCCTTTCCTATCATTTCTTGTTAAGAAATGGGTAGGAAGAGGACAAGAATTTAGCCTCATGTAGCAGGTCATGTGAGCGGCAACTGATTCAAATAACACGTACGACAGAAACTACTAATACCTCTACTGAAAATATGACCATGATATTTTGATTGTTTAGTTCTTCTTTCTTCAACGTCGCTACATAACACCAGAAAAGTTGAGTGAGTGGAGTTTGCGACAGTCCACAGTTCACAATATTTGTAAACATCCTGTATATAACATCATCGTTATAACTTTAAATAGAAAACAATGCGTGTATTTCTTTCAGTTTACCTCCTAAAGGCAGCCTTAACGTTTTTCAGTAAGTTGATAAGTGATGAATATCAATAATATTACTTTATTATTTTAAAATTATTCAAGATATTTAAAGTTTTGCTTTTCAAACGTAGATATGGAATCCATGTTAGCTTTGGAAAGAGAGGTACAGGAACATCAGCAAGATGTGGAGAAAGTCATCGCCAGCGGAGCGTCGGACGTGGAAAGGTTCTATGCTGGTTCCAACATATTTCTAACCGGAGGCTCGGGTTTCATTGGAAAACACTTAATTGAGAAGCTTTTTAGGTAACTGACCCTTAATTTTCCGATCATTTTATTCTGTACTTCTCCTCCTATATTAATTAAATGTAGGAACAACATATGCTTCATTTTGGCTTATTTAAGTTGCCTATAAGTAGGAGTCTCTTCTCCGTTCTAGCAAAATGATTCTTCTTCTTCGTTATTCTTCGCCCGTTGTCCACCTTGTATTATACTATTTGTTCGTATTTCTGCATGATAAGTCATGTACTGTTTTTTTATATTGATGTTCTTTTTTAACTAAATATTTCTCTGGTTTGTATGGAGATTTTTACTATGAAATAACGAAAGATATCATCATCATCAGCTCACTATACGTCCCCACCGAGGGGCTCGGAGCCTACCCTAAGTTAAGGGTGATTAGGCCATAGTCAACCACGCTGGCCAAGTGCGGGTTGGTTGACTTCACACATATCTTTGAATTACTTCTCAGATATGTGCAGGTTGCATCACGATGTTTTCCTTCACCGTAGGAACGTCGGATAAACGTACATATGTACATCGGAAATCGAAAAACACATTGGTACATGGCGGGATTCGAACCCAGGACCTGCAGATTGCAAGTCAAGTGCTTGACCACTGAGCCACCGACGCTCTCGAACAAAAGATATGAAAAGCGAAAAGTAAATCATAATGATGATAATGCGTATGATACGCACATCATCGTGCAAAAGTGAGACCGATTTTAATGATATAACATAACTTAATAATTTATTTTTTCAGGTGTTGTAATGTGAATAAAATTTATTTATTATTACGATCAAAAAAAGGAAAAAATGTACATCAACGAATTAATCAAATTCTTAAAGACCCTGTAAGTATAGCAGTATTTTGAACCTATTGCAACCGTAATGAATACTTTAAGGTCCTTCTTGCTGTAGATATTTTCTACGCACTTAGGTTATGAGACGGAGTAAAAAAAACAGTATTTTCTAAATAAATTTTACCTTATAGTACTGCAGATAACTACGGGACTATAAGGTAAAATGAATTAAATTAATTTAAAAATTATATCTTCTATAAACACTAGCTGTGCCCGCAACTTCGTCCGCGTGAAATACTATCTGAGCTACCCGCGGTACCGGACAGTACTTGAATCAACAACATTCCTTTATTATGCTAAAATAAAAAAAAAAGTAGCCTAAGTTATTCCTTATTACATCAGCTACCTGACAATAAAAGTCCCGTCAAAATTGATCCAACCATTTCAAAGATTAGCTAAATCACACAGACAGACGAACAAAAATGAAAAAAAAAAACATGCTATATGTACCGTAAATATTCACATAGGTAAATGTTGTAAAAAAACGGTTATTACAATATTACATATAGAGTTAAGAACAGAACAGAACTAGGAACATTAAATTCGCATTTAGCCTTTGGAATGTTAATTTTTCAGGTATTTGATAGTTTACACAAACATAAGTCAGATTTTGTGAAAAATATAATACCAATTGTTGGAGACATCAGTGAAAAGGAGCTAGGGATTGGAAGTGCTGATCAGAATATCATTACCGAACAGGTAATTATCACATCATCATAGAAATATAAACAACCCTTAAATTTCGTAAAATGGTAGACAGAAAGTAAATTTAAAAGTGGCAAAGTCGTAGCAGCATTTATGTTACGCTTTATCCTGTATTTTTATGTGTAAATTTAACGAATGAGTTTAAAAATGAATGTAAAAACCATTTCAGGTAAATATTATAATCCATGCAGCTGCAAATGTAAATTTTAACGAGAATGTAAAGGCGGCAACGCTGATGAATGTTCGTGGAATCAGAGAGATAGTTCGCCTAGCTAAATGTTGTAAACAACTAAGGTAACTGTCAACATTATAATAACAAACATAATTAGTAGTCTATTAACGTTCTTCCAGACTATGTTATACATCTATGCCAAATTTTATCGAGATCCGTTCGCCGTTCCGGAGATACCTTCTAACAAACGTCCATCTAGCTAAATATTCGCATTTATAATATTAATAAGAAGTAAGATGTAAACATTCTGAGAGTGTAATTAACTTATTAAAACTTCTTGAGACGTTACATTACACTGATTAAAGAGTACTGCCTAATACTTTCGATTGCTACCAGAATACCTGATATTTATACGTAAGAGTTATCATTATTTTAGGTCTGTAGTTCACGTGTCGACGGCGTACAGTCACGCCACCAAGAGTCGAGTGAGACAAGCTGTGAAGGAACAGTTTTACGACAGTCCTATACCTCCAAATACTATGATAGAGATGGCCGAAACTATTGAACAAAACAAGTTAGATAATATAATGCAACTGTAGGTACTTTTTAATTTTTTTATAACCACCCTTAAGATCCCCTTAAGGGAAGTCTGATAAATTATTACATTTTCTGTACATTTTTATTTGTAAAATATTTACTAAACCAAGTCAACCTGTATATTAATATATTGCACAAATCTTGCAATTGAAATAAGACACATTCACCATCCACATGTAAGATATTTTTCGCCTATAGTTTCTGGCAACAGTATAATTTAATACTTTTAGTATCATTGTAAACCCAAGATGGCCGCCACCACGTGAGAACTAAGCTAAGAATAGAATACATCAATCATAGCCATATTAACAAAATGACTGGTTTTTAGTAGTATTTTTGTTTTTTTCTTGATTTGATACGATGATGGTTTTATACGATTATCAAATTGTAGTATTTGACTAGTAGAATCACAAAAATTTATTCAAAATATAAATTAAAACTTGAAACAAATTTATACAATATTGGTAAAAATTATTTTCCGATAAAAAAATTAGCACTATTTACATATGTGGCTATTTTTCCTTCAATAAATAAATATGATTATTTTTAGATTAAATGAAGACCATACTAATACGTATACATTCACTAAAGCAGTTGCAGAAGAAGTCGTAAGGACTGAAGCACAAGGCTTACCTATTTGTATTGTTCGACCATCTGTTGGTAAGTGTAGTTTACTCTACCTAGATGCATGTGTAGGAGAACGTCGGTGGCTCAGAGGTTAAGGACTTGACTTGCAATCTCCAGGTTCAGGGTTCGAATCTCGCCATGTACCAATGTGTATTTCGATTTACATATGTACATTTATCCGACGTTCTTACGGCGAAGGAAAACATCGTGATGCAATATGCCCACATCAGAGAAGACATTCAATGATATGTAAGATATAGGTAGGCTACGAGAAGCTTAGGTGGTGGGGAGGGATGTATAGTGAGCTGATGATGATGTCCACATCAACGGATTTATTTATTTTACAAATATTGTAGTTTAATGCGATGATATAATGGAAGTATTATTATTAATTTATCTATTTATTTCAGTCATAAGTTCATACCGTGAACCTTTGCCGGGTTGGATTGATCCGTGGAATATAAACGGCCCCAGTGGCGTAAGTACTGTTAATGAAACTTTATAAATTATGGTTTATTTCAATAAAACGATCCGCCCAAGTATTGCTTTTTCAATCCACGTTAGAAATACATAAGTCTGTTGTCACATATGACTCCGTCAGCACGGGATTACAAAAAAACAGTGGTAGAGCCCGCTTTAACATCTTCGCACGTATTGGCCTGGCTCGCCCGGTGAAATACCACGACCACACAGAAGACAGGCATAAAGTGGAAGCAATTCCGCGTTTCGTCTGATGAGTGTGCGTCCCGGAGGCCAACTTTAGTCCTCTTTCCTTTCCTACCCTTTTTCTCTAATAAGGAAAGGATGGGAAGTGGAAGTGGACATTCCGGATGAGAGGATGCATGGAAAGGGAAAATGTTTTCTTTCTGTGCATCCTCTCCTCCGTCGATTAAAGGTAGGCAAGGCATATGCAATTGCGTATGTCTATGGTCAACGGTCACTTCGCTATTTCAGCGATTTCAGGTTGCCACTCGCTCGTTTGCCACCTTATGATATATAAAAAAAAATGTTTTTTCTTTTTCAGGTTATTTTAGGAAGTTATACAGGAATAATTCATGTTTTAAAACTAACTGGTGATATAGTTATAAGTTGTGTTCCAGTTGACATAGTGACAAATACAATATTAGTGGCTGCTCGGGAGAACGCAATACAAATCAATCAATCAAATCTAGAAGATATTAAAATTTATAACGTCACAAACAACAGAAATCCGCTAGTTTTGAGTAAGTAAAAGTGCATGTGATAAAAAAAGTTATTTTATTTGTGTAAGCTGAAAATTTCTTTTTAATTATTTTGTTCAACATTTTCTTTTAACTTTTAATTTTAGGTCACTTCACCAAAATCCTTGATACATCTGGAAGAAGTTTGATATCATTACGGGCAATATGGTATTGTTTTTGTTTAGAAACGTCTAATTCATTTACAAATGTAATACTTTTTTGGCTTTTACATTTCATTCCTGCATTTTTTGCTGACATTGCGTGCAAAATAATAGGAAAACGTCCAATGTAAGTAAATTACAAAATTTTTTTTTTTTTTTATAAAATATTAGCAGATTTTTTTTGCAAATTTACTAATATTTCTTTAACCATTCCAACTAAGCTCTAAGCTTGTGCTAGGATATGGTTTACGACAATAGTCGAATGGCGGGATTCGAACCCCCGACCTCGTGGTCGGAAATCCGTAACCTTAACCATTAGGCTATTGACGCTTAAAAATACAAGTACTCTAAAATGTTAAGATCCGTTTATACCATGCCGTGCCGAAAAAAATTTTATATTCCACACATTGCGTAGAAATCTTACTAATAATATAAATAGGAATGTTTAGATGGATGTTTATAATTGCGCGCAGACGGAGTTGCGGGTGACAGTTAGTATATTCATATTATAACATGGCAGTAAAGACGCGGTCAGTTTGTGTAGTGCCGGATTGGGCAATAAGCGCTCAAAGAGTTTGACAATATGTGTGGGTCTAGCGCCGATACATCGTATCGTCATCGATAAAATTTGTAATATTTGAGCAACCCCTATCACATGTACAGTAAACCAAATACAATTACTAGTTTTGACATATTTAACGATGAAGACACGAAGGTGATTGTCACAAATATTCTCTTACGTTGGATGAGAATATATGGCGTCTGTCCGTGCCTGTTACGTTCAATGTCTGTAAATATAAACATATTTTTTGTGACTGAGTCACTGTTGACCTTGAAAAGGCATTTACTAAACCTAGTTTAAGGGTAAGTTAGCCTTAGGAGGCATATAAACAGATCTTTTCCCATGCAGCCAAAGTGCATGGCATGTTACTTATAATATATGTTCGCGTGTCGCTGACTCGTTGCCTTCGAGGTTGCCATTGTGGGGATACATCTATGTATATTAATTTAATACTCTGTCAGATGGCATAGAGACACGTATAATAATGATAAATATAGCACGTATTTCTTTTCTTGTTTCAGACTGATAGAAACATATAAAAAGATATACAAGTTAACATCGGCGTTGGAATCTTTCATGAATATGGAATGGAAATTTCAAGACGATAACACTCTCAATCTTTATTTAAACCTGTCAAATATTGATAGAGATATTTTCAACTGTGATATGGCAACGATTGATAACACAGAAATGACACTTATTTGGGCATACGGCGTTCGGAAATACATCATAAAGGATCGTACTGTCAATAATGCTGATCAAGTTGCAAGAAAGCAATTTTGGTTGAAAATATTGACTTATTTCATATTGTTTTTGTATGTTTATTTGTTCTATAAAATTATAATGACTAGCTATTCGATAATAACTACATTTATATAAATTCTTTCTGATTTTAAATTGATACTTTTTGAACATATAGATATTGAAAGCATACAAACGCAAATTTTAAAAATGATTCCAGAATGAAAGATTAAAAAGATTTTAAAAATGTTGTCTTATTTTCAGAGATTCTAACAATGTAGTCGTCTTTTCTTTCCTACACTCTTTCTCTGCGTCTCTACTCCATCTATAAAAGTTAGGCAATGCATCTGTAATTGCGGATGTCCATGAGTAGCGGTCGTTTCGCTATTTCGGCCAATTCAGGTGGTCGCATGCTCCTTTACCACTTTATTATATAAAAAATTGACCATTGAATGACACATTTATAAAGGGCAAGATGTAGAACAGCCTGGAAAATAACATAGACTATTAGTTTTTTTTAATACCACGCGAACGGAGTCGCGGGAGACAGCTAGTTTGCCATAAAGATTTATTACTGTATATAATCACTGGAATTAAATATTACATTTTCGGTTTATATATTTAAAATACAACTATTTAGGAGAAATAAAATAACTATGAAATGTAAACTTGAATAAGAGAAAGGGTTTTGTCGGCGCAGAATAAAGTTGTCTTCATAAAGGCGTGTTACTTGGAATGTGCGAAGTACATCAGTTAGGGATGTTACTTTTACTAAAATTAAATAAGTGTAGTTAATTATATGCCTAAATAAGTTAAATATGTATCTAGGCCGACTATATAGCATTTTCTATAATAATTAGAACTGACTCATTTATCAAGTCATCAAGTCCTAAACGGTTTTACATTGAGATAATAAAAAAATAGTGCACTGTCAGCTGCCGAGTGTTATGACTCAAGCAATCAGTATTAGGGCTGCATAGAAAGCAACCAACTCACAATGAAAGTGATTTCTTAAATAAGTATAGATATTGGGTCCTTAATCCTGTTCTTTAATAAGAACTTCTTAGTTAAATTTTTTTGTTGTTATCCCATTTACCAATACTACCGGGATGATGGTATTTCATTAGCCAATTGGTGGCAACCTGTGTTAAGGTATTATATTATTTTGACATTAAATTGTTTGGCAACCCTAATGTAACCAAGGACGTAGTAACAAGGTATTTGCTCTAAAGAGAGTCGTTTGACCTCCACTTTGTTTGTGCGAGGTGTCAGAAAATATGTGTATAGTAAGAGTACACACTCCTAGAATGTGTCATTTCTTTCAGCTCATTTTGGTAGTGGCACTGCCGTGCCTACTGGTATTGTGTTATCCTTTACTTTAGCTTATATGTGTCCATTTATCTTATACATTCACCTAATGGTTGTAAATATTCAGATAATGTATGTAAAGTAAAAAACCACTGATTTATAATAAATGGATAGGTCGTTGCTTGTAAATAACAGCTTTTATTTTCAGTTAAACGCGCCTGTTGAAGTTCCAGACTGTCAATTTTATGTCTGTTGTATTATTAGTTCTAATCCTCACCACTAGTAACAAAGCAACCATGAACACCAAAATGGCGAAACTCAAATAGGCACGAAATACCAATGTCTATAACCGGTTTATGAATAACTAGTATAAATTATATAATATGTAGTACATAGAATTCATTACAGATAACAGAAAATTTAAGTGGCCCTGTCATAATTAAATATTCAGAAGCAATGATATTTCGGAAATGTTATGAATAGGTTATGTCTAGTTGAACGTTCTTTTATCACGCTATGTTTATTGATTATTACGACATGCAATAGTAAACATTGTAGAAATTAATCTCTGGCAATCAATATCATAGTCATTAAGTTGTAATCTTACTAATATTATAAATGCGAATGTTTGGATGTATGCTTTTTTTTATATCATAAGGTGGCAAACGAGCGAGCGGTCACCTGAAATCGCTAAAATAGTGACCGTTGCCCATAGACATACGCTATTGCATATGCGTTGCCAACCTTTAATCGACGGAGGAGAGGATGCACAGAAAGAAAATATAATATTTTCTCTTCCCATGCATCCTCTCATCCGGAAAGTCCAATTTCACTTCCCATCCTTTTCTTATCAGAAAAAGGGTGGGAAGGGAAGGGTCTCAATTAAGCCTCCGGGACGCACACTCATCAGAGGAAACGGGGAATTGCTTCCACTTCACGCCTGTCTTCTGTGTGGTCGTGGTATTTCACCGGGCGAGCCGGGACAATTCATGCGAAGATGTTAAAGCGGGCTCTACCACTGTTAAAATTGAAATTGCTAGCTTATTAGAAGTTATCTCCAGAACAGTTGCATGTATCTCGCTGAAATTTTGTATAGGTAGAACATAGTCTGGAAGAGCACGTAGGCTACAATAATAATAAAATAATAGGTAAACTATGTTTTTTTTTTTAACTCCATGCAGTAAAGTTATAACTGAATCTTTCAATTCCATACAAATATAGTCCAATAATTCGATCTCGGGCGTCGAGGGACAAAACTTAGTTACATGGTAATGGAATATGCAGTGTTCTATTTTCTTTATATACGATCAGGGAACATGGTTATACTTAACACTTATACTTGTAGTTCTCCCAGACAGATTTTTACTATAAAATATTAGCGGATTTTTTTGTAAATTTACTAATATTTCTTTAACCATTCCAACTAAGCTCGAGGCTTATGCTAGGATATGGTTTACGACGATAGTCGAATGGCGGGATTCGAACCCCGACCTCGTGATCGGAAATCCATATCTTAACCATTACAGTTGTGAAGTTACATCATTTAAAAAAATAAGCATATTTTTTTTAATTGATTGATATATTCTAGGACTTTTGACTTCATTTATGCGTATTATAAGAAAGGTATATTATATGATCTGAAATAAGACACTTAATTTTAATTATTAGCGTTTCTTTAGAGACGACGGTTACCTTCCATATAGAGTTAAAAAAAAATTTTATAATATAAAATTTAAGCACCAATAGCCTAATGGTTAGAGGTACGGATTTCCGATCACGAGGTCGGGGGTTCGTATCCCGCCATTCGACTATTGTCGTAAACCATATTCTAGCACAAGCCTAGAGCTTAGTTGGAATGGTAGAAAGAAATATTAGTAAATTTACAAAAATTTGCTAATATTTAAAAATAAATGATATTTTTCGAAATCTACTAGACAATCTTATATATAATATAAAAATCTTTTGTCTAAATATTAGTTACCGTACCTTTTCTAAACGGCTTAATCGATTATTTTGTAATTTTATATGCATATTTAGTAGGTCTTAGAAACAGCTGCAATCTACGCGAACGGAGTCGAGGTGGTCACCTAGTATATAATATAATTTAATAAGAAATTAAATATAATTTTTTGTTTACATAATTCCTCCGATTCAGCTAGTTTTTAATAGAATTTTATTTGATGTAAACTTTCTTATCCAACATTAACTTTACAAGATTTTATATCGAAGTATGTATCAAGTGTATTATACTCTCACAAAATGAATTAAAGCGATATAGAATGCTGCGTCGTGCAGTACCACACGAGTGGAGATAACTGAATCAATCTATGGCAGTGTGGCGTCGACGTTATCCGGGACATCGACAAATCCAATAACCGGAACAATGAGCTTACTGAGTTTTTTTACAGTCAATGTTTCTGAATTTACGAGATAAAAGAATTAAAGGTGAATTAAATTCCTCCAATTCAATAGGTACCTACCAAGTTTAGGTTGTCGTCAGTCGTCACTATCGAGGACTGAGAGATTACTCAATGTAGGGGTACTAGGTCATAACCATGCTCGACCAGTGCGGGTTGATTGACTTCACACATATGTTTAGGTTGCATCACAATATTTTTCTTCACCGTAAGAACGTCGGATGATATTGGAAAATCGAAAAACACGTGGAAAAGATCAAACCTGGATGTTTTAGAGCACGAGGCGGTCCAGTCAAGCAGTTAACAATTGCGCCACAGACGCTCATTAAGTAGGTTTATTTTACTCTGTCGAACATAAAATGAAGTATAAAAAAGTTTCAGCTATAATTTAAAAAAAAATTACTCCGTAGGAAATTTGAGATATTATCATTGTTTTGTTTTTAAATTTTGTGTTTGTATAATTTAATATTCAAAAGACCTGCTTATAACCTTAGTCTTTGTTAATTCCATAGATAATGAATGGAAGTAGCTTTGTTGGAATAGTGTAGCTTTTGAGAGAGCACAGTTATATAATAATTTGCCTAAATACATCCGTGATATTAACACTATGTCATCTTAAGTGATATATAAACACGGCTAAACACTCACGTATATATGTCCGGTGGCGGCATCGAGTAGGTTCACCCCGCCCATTCAAGATGCGCCCTAAGAGCGCAGGCACGCAGTAAGCGACGGGCCGCGTCCGCGAAATAATACCAATACCACTCATCCTCATGAAGGGCCCCCGATAGGCTCGAAACTAGTCGGTGCCGCCACCGGACGTATATACGTGAGTCTTTAGCCGTGTTTATATATCAGTTTACTATGTCATCATTTAAAAATAAAATAAAGAATTTTGTTAGTAAAATGTCAATTGTATAAACCTAAAATGTCATCTCTGACTACTGGTAAAATTTCAAATTGTATGTATGTATAGTAAAATTGTTTCTCATACAGTGAATTTTGTAAATTCTTAGAGAGATAAAGATCTTAAACCACTAAAAAAAGTATAATATGTTTTTGTTCATTCAAACTCTACAACATTCATGTTCTTGTAACGTTTGCCACCGACCAGTGAGAACCCACCGAAAGGCTTAAACTTACTTGTTTTACTAGAAACTCGACAAAGAGTTAAGCCTGTTTCACGAGAGATTAAAGCCTTATAAATGAGTGTATGCTTAAATATAAAATATATATAATATATATATAAATAATATTTGTTTCCTTATGTTTGTGAGTGTCATTTGACATGAAATAGTAAATTACGATGGTAATTAATATTTCAAAAACCTTTAAAAGCAAAAAAGAAAAGTAAGAAATAACAAATTGGAATTTTTCGCATATCTTACTAGTATTATAAAAGCGAATGTTTTGATGGATGTTTGTTTGAAGGTATCTCCAGAACGACTGAACGGATCTTGCTGAAATTTGGCATAGATGTAGAACATAGTATGGAAGAACGCATATGGCACTTATTTTTTTTATTTCGCGCCGACGGAGTCGAGAGCGTCAGCTAGTTATAAGTACATATCACTTGATTTATAAAAATGGACTCAGTTCTAAGAAAGCTATGTAGAAAAATAATACATTATATTTATCAGATTATATGAAGGACGTCCTTGAATTACAATATAACGGTAATTGTGTCACGTTGTCTTTCATTGAGATGTTTATTTCATTTTCTAAATAATCAAGGTTTTATTCACGTACATAATAATTTGTTTACAAATTCATATTTGTATTTATGTATTTTAATGATAAAACGATATCAATAAA